CTGATGGAAAGCTTTGGTTGGTACTCACTCTTCCTTTTTCTCTCTCTCATACTCATATAGCCCACTTTGTTTCTTTTACCTGCTTCTTCTTTGTTGTCTATCTTGTCTAACATAAAAATCTCAAATAATCTGCCAAAAAATGCAAATAAAAAAGCCTAGAACCAAAAGATGAGTTCAGCAAGGTCACAGGCTGTGAGATCAGCAAACAAAAGTCAATTGTTATTTCTGTGTACTAACAATCAGTATGTGGAAACCAACATTAAAAATACAATACCATGTACAATGGCTCAAAAATGAAATACTTAAATGTAAATCTAATAAAACCCCTACAGAACTTACATGCTAAAAACTAGAAAACAGTAATGAAAAAAATAATCTAAATCAGTAGAGAAGCATAATCCTGTTTATGGACTAGAAGACTCAACTTCATAAAGATGTTTGGTCTCCCAGTTGGTAAACAGGTTTAATGCTGTGCCTCCCCAAATCCCAGAAAGATTGTAGATACAGATTCTGTTTTCATGTATTTCATTTTTGTAAGAAAACCTAGAACATACATGTGTTTGGCTGGATTGGCCAGGATAATGATTTTTTGGCAATACCAAGTACTGTCAGTACTTTGGTTTAGAAATAACCTTTTTGCTGTAAAAATTTAGTCCACACCCCTCCAGTCTTTGTGCCAGGTAACCTTCACAGCCACCCTGCGAGGAAGGTGCTGTTACTATCACCATTTAACAGACGGAAAAATGGAAGCACACAGAGGGAATTTCCTTGTCCAGGGTCACAGAGCTATCATAGAAGACAGGGAAGCAGGATTCAAACGTAGACTAACGTGAGTCCTACATCTGCTCTGTTGCCCTCCTCTGACCCTCTAGGGGTCTTGGGGTCTCCCTCGTTTTCACAAGGGTGCTCGCGCCAGGGGCTCTCTGAGAGCCCTTTTTGAAAAATCACTGTAATCCTTACATCCCTTCACTCCCTCGTGCTCTGCAAGGCACTGTTTTAAATATTGCCAGATACTGTAAGATTCCACTTCCAGCTAGAGATTAACCCAAGGATTATCTTAAATTATCCAGCTATAAGGGAACATTTGATAGATACTTTTCAGAAAAAAATTAACTTTTTTCCCAAAAAGTTTGATTCAAAGAGTCCTTCCCATTTGTCAGAGAATGATGACTATAGAAGTATTTGTCTTTTGTTTTACAAATGGGAAATGGATTTTGAAGTAACATATCACTTTTCTTAGGTGTCAGGGGAAATAGGTCACTTTATGCTATTTATCATAATGTTTTAAAAAGTTAGCATTGAAAAATGAGAAGTTAAATATTGAGTAGTTCTTTAGCCAAAGACTAGAAAAGGACTACTGAAATATTTTGTGAGATAGACAATAACTATTTTCATATGTATGGTTTTTTTTTCATTATCTGCCTCGGATAAATTTTCTTGTGATGGTCAATTATAGCTTTCTAAAAGGAGTAATTGGCTATTCATAGATGTATTGACTTCATTTATTGCAATGTCTTTTTAGATACCCTTGTAAACACAGGAAGACTTGACTTCCTGGAGTTCTAGAAGCAACACTAGGAGTGATCTGGAATGCCTTAGTAAGTAAAATAGATGAACATCTAAAAGCCTCCATCTGTCTTTAAAGTTATTAACAAAAGAGAAAAATTCAATACTTTCCTCTAGTAGTCAATAAAGAAAGAAGGATGTCACAGAAGAGCTCGATCCCCTTTAAGCTAAAGGAGGGGAAATTACAGGAGTCAGAGTGTCAGTTTTGGAAACACAGGCGTTGTGCCCAGTGGTCTCTGGCAGCATCTCGGTTCTGAGCCAGTGGCCTCCTGCCTCAGGTGTACCAGGTCCTGACTGGGCGGTTTAATGACTTGACTACTAAACTAGAATTGCTGGCTAAATGTTGAATTTGGAATGGCATGATCACAAAAATAAGCTGACACATGATTACATGCAAATAACATTACCTTTTAGCACAGTTTATGGTAGAACCAGCCTCTGACCTCCTGGCATCAGCCACCCCCTTGTTGCCCCAGAAGATCACCTCTTAGCCCAAAACCTGAACTCTGCCCAGTGCTTTCCTTGGCCAGTCCATAAACTCCCAATCAGGCAGTTTCAGAGCGTGCACTGCAGGAGGCGTACACACGCCCTGCATATAGAAACACGCCGTATAAGCCGTACGTGGGGTTCGGGGCCAGTAAGGACATAGGAGATCAACCCTGGCACAGATCTGTCTGTGGCTGCCAGGAAGTGAGGGGCAGAGGGCACACACGGCTTCCCGAGGCAGAACCAGGCCGATTAAGCGTCCGCATTGCCTGTGGCTGATGGGAGAACCCGTTCCCTCTCCCTCCCTCTCCCTCTCCCTTCCATCCAGCCCACTTTTCCGCTCCCTTCTTCTTTACTCTCTTCTTACACTTGATCTGCTTGCCAAAGATATTCTTGCCACTTTCTTAATATATTTTATTGCAGCGACTCTTTTAATGCTTAAATGCTTTATTACAGTTAATCTTTTTTTTTATTTTAGGATATTACAGTTTATCTTTACACTTTTCTGTCTTCATGTGTCCCTCTGTCTTCATGTTCATTTCTTCCTGTTTAGGCAGGGAGAAAAGTTAACAAAAAACCAGAACTTACTAGAAAGGAAACATGACATCCGTCTGCCACACCCTCCGCCCATTACAGGAATCCCCTCTAAAATTTCCTGGGCAGGTGGTATGCCTGCCTCTGCACACACCTTACCTGGATGAAAAGTCACTTCTTCACAAAGCAACTGACTCCAGTTTTAAGCAGTTTTAATTGTTCAAAAATTCTTCTTTCTGTTAATTCACAGATTGCCTCTATGATATTCGTCTGACAGTTCGTTAAAAAGAACAGTAGCGAACATGTGTTGGCCGCTGTGCTAAGACATGCCCTAGTATCGCCCTCATGGTGTAGCAAGGAACCTAAATGTTAGACGACTGTTCCAGGTCATGTGATGGAAAGTGGTGGGGCAGGGGGGAACTCACATCGTGTGACCCCAGAGCCCCACACAGGCGCCCGCCAGCCCTTGGCCTATGGGTGCAGTCCATGCTTTCCCTTAGAATCCAGCCGTAGGGTCTCATCCCCTCTATTCTGAATCGTGCAGTATTTTCCCTAGAATGTTTGTGGGTGTCCCAGTATGGGACTGGGAATAATAATAATTCCCACGGGGCTGGGAGTTATGTCTCATCCATTCACATATCTCCAGGGCTCAGAACAGTGCGCGGCATGTGGTGGCACTAGCTCAGTGTTTGATGGGTGACTGAATCCCTTCCTTAGCTAGTATATACTCTGTGAATTCTTAGCTGTTTTTCCATGGGGTCTCTGGTTCCCCCTTGCTAAACTTTAAATTCACAGAAGCAATACATATTCTTCTTCCTCTGTCTTATAGGTGATAAAATTATGATTCATCAAATGATTTGCTTTTGGTAAAAGGAGACTTCTAACAAATGAAGAGTTGCGTCTTCCTGTCACTATTAGGTTTTGACCCTGTGACAGTTTATAATCTATACTAGGCAGCAACTGCTGCCTTGCCGACATCTAGGGACATTGCTACGGAAACGCCCCTGCTTCTCTTTTCCTCTCTTGGCCTGGCCACGTGCTCTCTGCCTTGTGCCCACCCTTCGACTGCTGGGGGTCCTGTAGACACACACACCCACCCACAGTGGCTCTCTTGCCCTGCTGCTCCTTTAGAGCCGTTATCATTTTTAAAGGTCTTCTCCAGTGCCACAGACAGTTAGGAAAAACCTCATTCAACCTTCTGACACCTATAAGCCATTATTTTCCATCTGTGTTTAAGATTTGGTTCCAGTTTCTATTCCCTGGTCTCAGTGCATTTGTGTAAAATCTCTCCCACATCGTGCGCATTTTTCTTTCTAGTGTATCATCCTATCAACGTACAAAAACGTGCCGTTTCTACTGTTGTAAAATGAACACCCTCTCCTGACCCTGCTTACCGGTCTCCAGCTATTACCTCCTCTCCAGACTCGTAAAGCAAGCGTCTATACTCACAGCCATTCCTTCCTCTTCTTCCTTCCTTCCTTCTCTCTCTTGAAACCCCACCATTTGCTTTACCGACGTTCTCCTTACTAAGTCAACAGAAATTTCCACCTTAGTAAATCCTTGCTCTGTGTTTCTTTTCAGCACCTATGCTTACCATGCTACATATTACTCATGTATGTATTCCCATATATGTTGACTCCATGTACTGTTCGTTTTGTTCACTGCCTGGAACATCTAGATGCTCAGCAGATACTTGCAGAATAAACAAATAACAAGCATTCCTGGTGGTGCCCTGCCTTGTAGTTACTCTGTCTGTATAAACTTGCTTGCTCAGGCCCCTTCTGGGGTGGTTCCCTGGGGCAGATCTTGCGGGCAGTTGCCTTTGTGGCGTTGAGTGGTCTCCATGGTCTGCAGGGCCCGGGCCCTTCTGTGACAGCCCGGAAGTGGGGTCAGGCTTCATACACATAGTCTGTTTTTTATCTAACCGGGTCATGACCAGACCGTTAGTTTTCTGTTGCTCAGAAGATACTCCAATTTCCTTAGCAAGATCCTAGAGTACTTATTTCCACTAAGGAGGCTGCTGTGATACTTGGAGAGCCCCTTGAAGAGTCCCGCCAAACAAAGACCCATTATTGTCACGGCTTGTATGGGATTCTTGGGGCTTATTGTTTATATTTTATGAATGCCTCTCCTCACAGTTTTCAGAGCATCTTCCTGCCTCTTCCTCCCCCTCACTGATTTCTCCTCTGGCACAAGTACCGCTGGCCACGCTTCTGCCCGCAGTGAGCATTTGGACTCTCCCGCCTGGACAGGGTGTCGCTGTGAGCGTGGCCCAGCGCTTGGCATTGTCGGGCTGGGACAGGAGGGTGCCAGCCTCTGTTCTTCCCGCCCGCCCTCCCTGACCGACTGACTGCCGTCCAGATATGGCCCCTCCCTCCCTGCAACCACAGATGTTTCTGTGACCTTCCAGGGCAGTATTGGGGCAGTCTTAGAACACACGCCCGCCTGAGGTGGGCAACAGCTTCTTCAACCCACCAACTACAGGCAAGTCACTGGAACCTTCCAAGCCTCCATTTCCCCCTCCGTTCTGTGGGACCAACGGTATGTGCTGGGCAGGGCTGGTAGGTGTAAGGTGCCCCACCACCTGCCACGAGGTCCGGCGGGTGGAAGGTGACTGGGACATGGTCACTGCCGTATTTCTCTTCTTAGGTTTCAGGTGATTGTGCCTAGAATCAAAACTTCAGAGACCACGAAGCACTGAACAGCAGCAGCTGCCTTTACCACAGCAAAATTATTCTTTCTTATTCAAACATAAGAGAAAACTCTGTTTCTCACTAAACAACACCAACAAAGCGAGAGACTGAGAAAACTGTTTGTAAAAGTCAACTCCCTTTTTCACTTCAGTGAGTCATTTTTCTTTAGTAAACAGGAATGAGAAGCTTAAAAGTTAATCAAGATAGAGGCATCATTTTAAAGTGAAAGTGTGAGGAAATAGTGCAAAAAAAGTGCATTCTATTTTAATGTACATTGAAGGCAGAGTTTTCAGATCTAATCAAAGATTTGTTTTGCCCATCCAGCGCTGTCTGTAGTTTTTATTTTAAATATTTATCACATTACTTTAAATGTGGCTTTTAGATTATTGTAATCCTTAGAGAGCCTCTTAAGTGAGGCTGCTTTTTTTTTTCCTTTTTGGCAGGAGCAGGAAGGTGGGGAAGTGAGCAAAGCTGTTTTCATAGTACATTAGGTGAAATTTTCACATTTTTATTCTTTTTTCTTAGAGCAAAGACATATCCTGAACTGAGCACATGTCAGATGAGAATCCCCGTGCAGGATTCTGAAATCTGCTCTCCCCAGCGTGAGCTGCTGTGCTGGGTGGGTAAGAGCCAGGCAGCTTCTGCAGGTGTCCACGGGTGTCCCCGCGTCCCAGTCCTGGTCCTCGGGGGAGGAGGGTTATTTACCACCATTCACCACTCCATAGTGAGGGCTGCATGGGAGGTACCTGCGAGAAAGGACAGGACGCAGAACAAGAGGTCAGAAAAGGCCTTGCAGTGGGTTTGGTGACTTTTTTCAGCTTGGAAGACTCAAGCAGGGCAGAGGGTTCCCGGGGAGGGAGCAGAATGTGGAGGCCGGTGGCGGAGAGCTTGGGAAGGAGGGCCAGGTGTCTTGGTGGCAGGTGAGGCTGGACAGAGGGGAGGGGAGGGAGCCTGTGGCCGCAGACCCGGACCCCTTGTCATCAGTCTCTCCCCTTCCCTCCCAAGACTGTGCTGCCTCCAGACACAGGTGGACCCAAGGCGCCTCTGCCTGGTGGAGCCCAGGGAGCTGCCTGCTGCTTTTGTTCTGAGGAGCTCAGAGCTGGGCTCCAGGCAGGGTGAAATGAGCTTATTAGTCATTCCTGAGCTTCTTGTCACTTGGACCCAAAAATAATATTTCAAGTACAAATTTTGGTGAAGCCTTACCTTGTACCGTTCTAGGCTTGAAAATGATTTTATGTAAGACGTGTTGTGCTAAAAAGATTCAAATATATGCTGTAAAAAAAAAAAAAGGTGTCTATCATCTTACATGTCTTATTTTGAAGATGATCCTACAGTTCAGTCTGAATCCTTAGAAATGAAAAATAAATTATCTTTTCAGAGTATTCTTGAGGCAAAGAATTAGTTCTAATGACTGCTGTACTAAGAGCTCTTCAAGAGATGGAAAAGAATTCTAGGTGTTTCTTTTCAAATAAGATCAACAGTATCCATTATTATTTTAAGTGAATTTACTAGTTCTGCTGTAAAATTCAACCTTGTATTGATTTCCCTTTGCACCTTGTTTGTGTTCTAAGCACAATTCAGTGCTAATGAGCTCGCTGTGAATAAATGGTCTCTGTGCACTTGTGTGCTGTTGGCACCGCGACCGCCAGTCAGGAGGAGGGACTTTGAGTTTCCTTTCGAATTTATAAACATCCCTGGCTTCACTTCACAAGTTTTTTATATAACATTTTCTCTGGGCCTTAACCATATAAAAGAGCATGCTAGACATTCTACTGAGTGTTTAGCACTTTAGTTCAATTCAGTGAACATTTTAGTGAGCGCCTACTGTGTGCATAGCTGAGGGCTTTAAAAAGCTTGCGATCCTCTTCTCCAACTGCAATGTGTAGTAAGAGAGAAAGAAACCAGTCTTGGGTTGCTTACTGTTCTTTTTAAAATACCTCATTATTTTCTCAAAGTTCAGCTGACTGTGATAGATCTACAGTCAATGGTGTGAAGAAAGAAAAGTTAAAATGAATGAAACCCAGTTTATAAACATTTTACTTCCTCTATTTGTGCATTTAAGCCATTCACAAGTAGCATAGTTATCTGATTTACCAAAAAGTCAAAAAGATTTTTCTTTTCCTCCTGTACCTTCTGGAGGAAGCTGGCACTAAGCAGTAAATGGACGGAAGAGTAGGTTTTCAGAACTAAAATATAATTAGTGTGGGTACCCGAGCCATATTATTTAAATTTAAAGCATTTAAAAGTACATTCAGTGCTTCGTGCATGTCGTTTTAAGAGCTGGAACAACACTGTGACAAGGTGAGGTGAGGTGTGCCGGCCTCCCTGTGTGGACATCGTGTGGAGCCCCTACCCTCCCCTCGTAGCTGGGCGTCTTAGAAGACTTCCTTAGTGTCTCTGGATATCAGTTTGCTCATCTGTAGAGTGGGGATAATTATACTTGCTTTAGAGATATTAGTGGGACTAAATTTAAAAGTGTGTAAAAGGCAATGTTAAAGTTCTGGAGACATCCTATGTCCTTAGTAAGAAATGCTCATTATTGACAGGTAACTTTTAAAACATAATCTAAGTAGCAATTTATCTAATACATTCACAGTAGACATGGTCCACTTCCAAAGGGAAAAAAAAAAAATACTGCTTTACTTTTTGTCCCTTCAGTTTTAAATGTCTCACCATTGTGTTACAAGGCCCACGTTATTCCGGAGTAAAATCTTTTGCCCTAAGGCTGTTCACTAGAAATTAAACATTTTTCCAGAAATAAATGTTGTGTCCGTCTACATTGGCACGGTCATCTTTCTTATCACATGTGCCACAGTTGCCTTAGAGGACAAGTTTACACAGCTAACGGAAAAAGCAGTAACATGCGAAGTGCGGATGTTTAAAACGATGCTGGTGGAAGAAGGGGACACAGGCCGCACGTCCACACAGCTCTGCGCTCTGATCTGGGCTGTCTGTGCCACTCGCCGGTCCTGGGGAGGCTGTTCATACGAGGGGGATCATTGCTGCTGTTCTCCTACCGCCGCCTCGAACCCGCACCTGCTGAGAAGAGGAGTAGAGCTTCCGGCACGAGGCCTCAGGAGCTCCGTGATCACTGCTGTTTGTAGTCTGAGTTCACTGAGCTGCTACTGCTGCTGCAGGAAGGTGTCTCTGGTCCTCCCACGGTGGGAGAACCAACTAGCTCAGACTCACAGGAACTTGCAGGTCTTATAAAACCTGCGATTCGAGTAGACTAGTCTGTAAAAAAGGACAGTGGTCCCTTGAACTCCACATTCATTTCGAGTTTGGTCGTGGCCTCACACATTGTCACAGCTGAACATGAAGCCGCATAAAGCTCTCCATGGCAGAGGAGAAACTGGCAGAGGGGATCATTTTATGTTTGTTTGGATAAGGCCGGCACAGTCCTACTGGATTTTCATTAGGAATTCTAGTAGCCTTGCTTTTTAATTACTCGTACTAATTTTCATCAAGCAAGTCATTATATTTCCAAAAGATTTTTGGCGAAGGCCCAGGGCAGCGTCAATTTCTGTAATCCCAGGGGAAAGGCAGGGCTCCCCCACACTGATGCAAGTTGGGGGCCCTCTTATAAGAACACATTCTTGACCTTAGGCCAAGGAAGAATGTTAAACTAGAAATGTGATTTTTTTTTTCTGATTCTGTTTCATTTTATTTGTTTTATATAGAAGGAAGACATTTTAAGAGAAGCTCATTACATTTTTGATAATGGCTTTACTTACAAATGAAAACGAAGCATGTGAACAAGTTTTCTAAATGACTTGGGAGAGTGACATTAAAGTAAAGCATTCATCATAGATGGAGATTTCACCTGCTGTTCTCCTACCAACTTTAGGTTTGATTTCATTTTTAATAATGGTGTTATTATTTACTCTAGCCCGTTTCACTCACATAACTGTTTGCTTTGAAATTCGAAACCACATATTTTCTCTGTAACTCAAATAAAAACGGGGCCACACGAGTGACCTTTTAGCCAGAAACTGTGCAGTCAATCCACTCTGACAGAAATGGCACAGGCTGTGTCACCAGAGAGTAATGGAATCATTTTCAGACAAAAGATCATTCAGTTGCCAGCCGTAAAGCTTGAAATCTAATGATGGTGATTATCAGGGCCAAGTTGTGAGCACTGGGGACAGCGTTTAATAATAGCTTACATTGACTGGACAGACTCGGTGCCAAGCTGCAGGCTGAGCACGCTCCACGTGTTAGATGGTGGACTCTCTCACTGGCGTGGGAGTTGCAGGAATCATGATTATCCATGTTTCATAAAGGAGGAAACTGAGGCACACCGAGCTGGAGGAACTTGCTCTGGGTTGCAGATGTTGAAGTGGTTGAGCCCCGGAGCAAGTGCACTTGACCCCTGCACCTCACTCTGGCCTGAAGAGGGGGCGGTTCGAGGGCTGTAGAAGGCAGGATGCAGCACCGAGCCAAGCCGCAGGCAGACAAGCAGCGCACCCAGCAAACCGTGGACACCCATTCTGCCTTCTGGGCTGCATTCATTAGGGATAAACGGAAGCAAGTGTACTGTACTTTCCCCATGTCCTAAGCATTTGCCCCACTGAATTCTCCTTTCTATCCCTGGATGAAATCTCAGACAGGCTAGCCTTTTTCAGTTCATCTTAAATAATTTAGAATCCTCTGATCAGTTTCAGGCATGGAAAAGTTTTGCCTATCGTCAAGATCAAAACTCCAGCCTCTGATCCAGTTTAAATTGGCTTCCTCCTCCCAGTTGCCCTGGAGACCTCTGTGGAGGGGCACTTAGCAAACATGGTTCTTCCCTTGCACCAGGAGGCCCCGAGTGGGCGTGTGATGTGCAGGGACGGCGGCGTGTGCAGGGGAGGTCACGAGGTTCCTCTCCTTTGCTCTTGCAGCTGGAATCTGGTGTCCCCTGGGTGTGGTGCATTTCAGAGCCAGTTCTCTTTGAGGACTGTTGGGCTCCCTGGAGGCAGCAGCGCCTCTTCCCAGCTAGTGGGTGTCCATAGCCTTCCCCACGGTGTGGGGCTTCAGGTGGACATAACCTGTTGGCTTCCTTTCAGGGAGCTCCTTGATGTGTTGAGAAATATGATTGAGGAATTAATGAAATATGCCTCATAAGATCACTGTTTTGTTATATCACCCAATATTGCTATATTAAAGACAGAAACAGGGGTTTGCCCTGAAGAAATGTGTGGACTCAATGGTTCACTTATCAGAGGCTGCTATCAAGGGAGAGCTCTCAAATCTCCGGTAGGGATGTTTTCCAGGAAGGCTGCCCGGTATCTCAAAATCTGTGAGCTTCTCTGTTTCCTTGAAAGACAAGGCAGAGCGAACATGGCCCACAGGTTGGGAGCCGGAGACAATGAGTGCCCTTTGCCCAGAGATGCACCCCGGTGGTTATAAACAACCTGTTTTATAGAGATGGGCTTCCTGCTCTCTCCTGTCTACCTTTAAGTCCACATAACTAGATCAAAGAAATACAGGGTCACTATACCTCTTTTGTTATACCTTTGTTAATTGATGACTACCTCTTAAAACTTAAAAGTTAGCCCCTGAAAGACTTTGTAACTGTTTGTTCACCTAGATAGATTAGAAGCCCCTTGAGAGGACTTTTGACCCCAACCCACTACC